AGCAATTTCTCTTTGCGTTTATGTTGAAAATATTGTAAATATATTGTATATGTATATTAATCTTTTTTTGCCATAGCACGTTTTAACTAGTGGTGAAACAACGGATATATTGGCTTAAAATTATATATGTTAAAAAAATTTTTCGAAGGAGTAATGCACAAGAATAAATTAGTAGTAATTTCATAATCATGAAATTCCTATTTGTATATAATTAGCTGGCGAAAGTTTACCGGCCTTACTCTTCGCGAAGAAAAGTGCTTCCTTCTTTATCTAAAGAACGTTATTGATTTGAATTTATAGGAAATACTGTATTTGGTGTTTCAGTATCACAGGGCTTTGTAACGTTAAAAATTGGGTTTCGATACCAGAAGTGAACAGAGAACAGATAGGTCATTGTATAGGCTTACGCTTTACAACAAACAAACAAATACAGATGAGATGTGGAAGTTGTTGTTTTTTGTAATAAATAACATTACTTATAATAGTTTTTGTTTCACCCATAAAGACATTTACCAACTGAACTGTCCTGGAAACAATTTAAAATATAGCCTTAGTATCCGAGGGGGGAAAGTAGTACATTGAAAATTGCGAAATTTACAGTTAGAGTCTCTATTCTACCTTATAATACAATTTACAAAATAACAAGGCGAAATTAAGAATTTAAAACCACTTGTTGTTGATACAAGTTGATTATTACTTATTAAGCCTCAATCAAAATTTAAGTAACATAATTGTTGGAGGCGATGCTAGTTACATACCAGGACAGCAGCGCAAGAATCTTGGACACAGTTTTGTTCACTGTGAAAAATCATTGATTATTTACTTCTCAGTATTGAAACCTGGGCAAGGTTTACCTTTAGAACATATTCTTAATTAATAGACTTATTAACATAAAAATATGTTATCATATTTTACTTTACGTTTAAAAGGAATACCAAATTCATAAGGTAAGAATTCTTTAGATGTGTTTGTTTTGGAATTTTGCGCAAAGCTACTCAAAGGCTATCTGCGCTATTCGTCCCATATTTGGAAATGATAGACTAGAGGGAAAACAGCTAGTCAACTCCACTTATCGCCAACTCTTTGGTTATTCGTTATCAACAAAAAGTGGGATTGAATGTTACATTAAAACGCCCCCATAGCTGAAATGGCGAGCATGTTCGTTGATCTATTCTTTAGAACTACGCTAATATTATATTGTTATTTAAGACACAAAAGAGTCTATATTACATATTTACAAAATAGTCATCTATCTAAAAACAACATCGTACTCAGTGTTTCATGAGTTATAGGTTTTGACTAAACGTACTGTAGACGTATTGATCAGCCACTGAATTATGTTTCTTTGAGTAAACAAGTTTGTAACTTTGAGACAGAAGAAATATAAAAACAATAGAGTATAGGTTCGTATTCCACCAATTATCAGGGATCAGCAAAAGATGTAAACATTAGTATTATCTGACTTATACATTAAACTTGGAAAAACAAATATCTAGAACAGATAAAAGGTGTTGTACATGTTAAACTATATTCAGTTAACTGGTCTGAACTTATTCTATTAATGAATTATACAACTGCTTTAACTAAGAATGTATGAGTGTGTATTTATTCTTCTATGTTCATTGGATAAGGTGTTGTACTTGTTAAACTATATTCAGTTAACTGGTCTGAACTTATTCTATTAATGAATTATACAACTGTTTTAACTAAGAATGTATGAGTGTGTATTTATTCTGCTATGTTCATTGGATAAGGTGTTGTACTTGTTAAACTATATTCAGTTAACTGGTCTGAACTTATTCTATTAATGAATTATACAACTGCTTTAACTAAGAATGTATGAGTGTATGTTTATTCTGCTATGTTCATTGGATAAGGTGTTGTACTTGTTACACTATATTCAGTTAACTGGTCTGAACTTATTCTATTAATGAATTATACAACTGCTTTAACTAAGAATGTATGAGTGTATATTTATTCTGCAATGTTCATTGGATAATCCTAGAATCTAAACGCAAAGCAAATATTTAAAATCTCCAAAAAATGTTCTAATATTTTGTGCTTGACTCTATCATCAAGATAAACAAAGAACTGATATTCTATAGTTCAGTCACGATAAGGAATTTCTCGTCTGAATTAATTTTTAATATTACCGTACACAATACAAAGGTGTATCAATATCATATAACAAAATCCGTATGCTAATTCGTACATTTAAAACTAAGTGACAAAGACGTACCGGTACTATAATTTTTTGTTTGTTCCGTATTGGCTCAAAGATACGGTTTATGGCTTATAACGCTAATATTTGGGTTTTCGATCCCCGTAGCGTAGACAGCCCATTGTGTTTTATTTTCCGGATATTCACACAGTTACCCAGGCTAATTTTAAGTTGATACACTCTAGTTAAGGCAGATAATCAACATCATCCACCGCGAACTATTGGACTACTCTTGTCCCATCGAATATTGAGATTTGTCCGTTACCTTTATAATGGACTAAAAGTCTGGAGCACTTGTTTATTTTTATAGTATGGTGGACTCGTAGATGCGACACGCTAACCACTGAGCCAGGCACAGCCAAGTCTATTCCATTGTTTTATGTTAAAACAATGGAATACCGATAGATAATGGATTTATAACGAATCAGAAACTTAAAGAAGCATATTGTTCAGATTTTACTTTACATTAAACCAACTTAGTTGTATTTATTTATCTATTTTTGCTTTATATGTAAGAGTAAAACAAATTTAGTTTAACTCCCAAGCTACTGACTTGTTTTTTTATACCGTTCATTACCATATTTAATATTTTTTTGTTTTTGCACCTAGTGTAAAAAAAGTAACCTAACATTGTGTGAAATCAGTTATTTTACTGTAAAATTTCACAAGATGCGTAAGCAGTAAGTGCTAGAATTTTGTTTAGATTTTTGTGTGACTCGTATGTTATTAGGGATACTGTGACGAACAAAGTCATAGATCAGTGACCTGCATGAATAGTTTAGAAAATGTGTTAATATATCCAGTATGGACCTTATCAATAATTCTAAGGTTATCTAAATAGTTTACCTTTGAAAGTTTTGTTTTTACTATTTTTGGTTCAATTTATGCCTATAACTATAAATATGTAGTTTATATAATGACATTCACTTTAAAATATACGTACCATCAATGATAAGCTTGTTTACTGTAGCAGCTAAGTTAAACATCTGATGAAACTCTAATACTAGGCAACAATCCATCGTCGATAGCAGCTTAAAAGAATCAAACTGATATTATGTACTACTTATATTGGACTAGTTAAGACTGAAGTGTTTCAGATATATTTATAGTCGCAATAATAGTCTAATCCTCCTCTTCTTGCCCTGAAAGAGCTAATGCTTCAGGAAAATCTACATTAGACTCCACAGTATATAATGCGTTATGTAATATTTTTAGGTATTTGCTGGGGCCTTAGATATTGCAAGTCAACATGCCTGATAAACCCTAACATACTGAGCGAATGGACATAGAACATTTTTTTTTTATATATATCTTCACCTTACGTGTTAATCTAAATTCAGTTTTACAATTTACTATTTTTGGATTAGTTCTCGACCAGGAACTGCTAGCTTCTCTCCCGTTTTCTATATATATTTTTGACTTGACTACAAAATAATATAATGCAGAACACCAATACGTACGTCTTGCATTTTGTAACTTATTAGTTTATTATGTTGTTTTTTTGTTTGTTTTTTTTCTGCTAGGTCTGAACAAAAAGACATTTGATACTCCAGAAACAGTTACAACTTTTCTCGATTTTTAATTTATGTTTTATAGAAGAAATAAAAGATGAAAACTTATAGCCAAATATCAGAATTATCCCAAAACACAAATAATATATATGTTAATAGTCGGGAGAGTAGTAAAGTTAGAGACTATACTCAGAAGATTAACAGTAAAATATATTGATTTAAATAATTGCATAAATGTTTCTGAGAAAACAATAAGGCTTCAATGTAATGAAATGAATCATTAAGTCTTGTATCAGTTTTATATAATTTTTTATTTGTGTCATTTGTTTTTCTACATAAATAGCCAATCACCCAAGTACGAAACTGTAAAACTTCATTCAGAAGAACTTTAAATAAAAAATTGTCAGACACTAATAGTTAATATAACGAACAAAATAAGGCGAAATATTCAGGAAAAATCAATGAATTCATTTCTTTCATGTGGCATATTGTATTTAAATGTAAAAAAAAATTGAAGTTGGAAAGCTTAGAAGTTAGAATATTTCATATTTTTCATATCCGGAATAATTTTGTAAAATGTTCATACATAGTGATCGTTTCCGTTTTGTTGTTCCATTCCGGTTTTAAAAGAAAAAAAAAGGAGAAATGCTTTCCTACACATAATTCTAAATATTTTTAGAATACGAATAGGATTATTGCTTATACGCACTATTTTATTTTTCTTATTAATGAAATGCTTTTTTCAATATTTGAAAATATCTAAATATTCTTTTTCCAAATATTGCTGAACACAGTATATGTACTCGACTCACAAAGCTGAATGATTTGGTAATTATTGGTTTAAAAACGATGAAAGGCTAAACTGAAGGCTTTGTTATGAATTTCAAAAAAAGGTAATTTGTTTATAGGTACGTAATATTAGAAAGATTAGATCTCTAGAAAAGTGTTATCAAGGAATATACCATTTATGGCTTCCACGCGAAAATATGCGAATACAATTTTGTAACAGTTGAATAGTATTAACACCACGGCAATTAACTTATATATACAAATCCAAGCTTTATTCGAGAATGATATATCTTAACTTATTAACATGGTGTATATAAGTTTAACGAATTCCTTTCTGAAAACGGCAAAAACGTCTTCGAAACAAAACTTTCCCTAAACATTAAACATTTCAATTCAAAGACGTTAAGAAAACTTCATGTACCTCTTTCTTTTGCCTACTACTTGCTGAAATGAATTCTAGAATTCAGAGTTACACTTACCTAATGTAGTTGTTGATCATTAAGCTTTTACAGCTTCATCAGTGAGTTGCTTCTAACTATTATTTCGGTAAATTAACGTGTCAAAGCGTACATGCCATGTTGTTTGACCGGCAAGAAAAATGTTGCCCTTGGTAGCTCATTACTCTCGTAGCTCGCTCATGTTCTACAAATGAACTGTCACGTTCAACACGCAGCCCGGAAGATAGGGAGACATTTCTAGAACCAAAGGCTGTATACTTTTTCAAGGCCAGAGAATACCCCTCGTCCTTTACGTTTCGTTTCACAACTCCTACTATTCTAAACTGTCTTCTCGCTTGAAATATAGGGAAGATTAGTCACGTGAGCAAATGCGACGTTTGCGCCGTCCAATGTAAGAGATGCTGATCACAGGTTCTGTTGTTGCGCTGTGTTTGTATAACAAAGTGTAATATTACCTTTTTGGATGTATTTAACAGACTTACTGTCTTTTTCTAATATGGATTATTTTCATCATTAACTAGTTTTTTTTTCACAATGATTTATTTAAATTCAACATGGTAAACTCTCATGCCGAAACTATAATTTATTCGTCTTTATTAGTAAATTAGAAGTAGGATTATATAACAGTTTTATAGAAATTTTCGCTTTTCTTTAATCCAAAAAAATCATAAAAAAACAGTTATATTATAACGTTTCACGAAGACTTTGTATGATAATGTTTACTTCTTGAAATGAGTAGGATTGTCTGAAATACAAATGTGATCAATGGAATACTCTGAACAATTTGATTCAGATTATATAAAACTATTTGCGATACAGTTTTGTCATTGAGTAACTTATTTAAAGGATGAGGTAATAATTTATCTTGATAATTTAAGGCTAACTGTAATTGCCTCATATTTTCACTTACATCGCAAATGCGCCTGAAAACATGTTTTATGTGCGTAGCAAATTAGTATTGTCAGAAAGTAATATCTTTGTGGTTTGATATTTTCTGATTCAGTTGAATAACAATATAATGTTGGAGATAAGTATAAAAGCTATTTTTTTATAATTGTAAACATATGCTAAAACACCAATTCACTATTGCACTTATATTAGGTAATAAATGTGAACACAACTCAATAAGATTTTTTATTTTGGAAAGGGAGCTCCCTATTCTTCTCAGCGTTTTATTTTGAAACTAGACGTGGTTGTAAAGAGATAATCCACTTTAAAAGTTAAAACCGATTAACTTAAACATATCTTGTATGTTAGCTTCGTCTTATTGTACGTGCAGGACTGACCAGTCAGATGTTGCCCCGAACGAAAATGGACTTACGTTTGTGGACAGCAGTTTAAGTCAGAATGTGGAATGAAGATTCAGATACAAAGAAAGGATTTCTAAGGCAGTGTTTTTCAATCACAGCCATCTTGCTAATCCAATGAATTTTACGAAACAAACAAGCAAAATTGACAGAATATTAATACGTAAATCGTAATGGTTTTTCATTGTATTTGCATTTTAGTGGTCCGCGACAGTGTAGGAAGGCAGCGAGCCAGTCCCTGGTATCGTAAAGATTAAGAAACGCTGTTCTTGTAAGGCACAAGAAATAAGGTGTATGGCGAATGGGATGTACATTCCCCAAGAATAAAAAGTTAAGCACTTGTGACAGTTCCCATTGATTTCACTGTTGAATGCGGAGTGTAAGTTTTATTTCAGTGTATTTTCTAATAGGCTGACCAGTTTCCTATTGGAAAATGGATACACAAACATATTAGTGCAAAAGGCGGGAGTACCAGGATTTCCAGGGTGTCTTGAGCATGTCAGCATGATTTGAGCAGCAATCCAAGATGCTAAAAGGAAAAAGGGTGGCTTAAATGTAATATGGTTAGCTCTAGTAAATGCTTATGGTTCAGTACCCCATAGGGTGATTGATTTGGCCATGGAACATTTTTGGGTACTTGGTAAACTTTGAGAAATTGTGGCCAAGTACGCTCACAAATATTTGATGAAATTTATCACTAAGCAATTCAATCACCGCTGGCAACCGTTGGAAATACGTTATGTTTTTGTTTGTTTGTTTCCCTATGGGGGTGATGATTAAAGAAGCAGACTAATATATTTCTGGGATAGTAGTTGGGGTAAATAAAAAACTACCATCATTGAGGGCATTCATGCAAGATATAACAATTATATCTTCATGTAAGACCAAAGTTGATGTAGTTTTGATAAGACTTGATGAACTGATAAAAATATGTTACTTGAAATTTAAGCCTAAGAAATATAGAATCTTGGCCATCAGGTTTGGCAAGGTCACTTCATGTAGTTTCTTCAATGACAATGAAAGAATTACAACTGTGTCTGAACAATATGTTAAGAGTTTAGATAAGTGTTACTCTGTGCCCCTTACAGTTAGGTTTAGCGGGAAAATAGTTTAGAATCAACTTTGTGAAGGATTCAAGACTACTGAAAAATGTGGCATACCTGGAAAGTTTAATGTGAGATGTTTTCAGTTTGGTCTCTTACCAAACATTTTGTGGCCTCTACAGGTCTATGATATACCACTATCACAGGTTGAGGTTATGGAAAGAAAGATTAATATAAAGCTTAGGAAATGGCTTGGGGTCCTTAGGAGATTCAATTCTAACATGCTCTTTTCAGGTGCCTTTAACTTAACACTTTCAATTCCATAGTTAGTGGATGAAGACAAAGTTGTTAAAGGTAGGCTGCTCACAATGTTCAAGCAATCAAAAGATAAAACCAACAGGGAATATTTCCCTGGCCTCAACACAGGCAGAAAGCGGGATGTAGGCTGAAGGGTTGCAGAGGTAGAAAGTCGGCTAGCTATGAAGGAGATTGTAGGAGCCATGCAAATAAATAGGAGAGGCTTAGATTGGAAAAGTCATGTGTGGTTTTTAAAAGGTGGTGTGGAAGAACGTAGGAAAATAGTTACAGAGGAAATAAGACAAATCGAAGAAGAAAGAGGGGTAGCACAAGCCCTATTCAAGGCTAAAAAAGGTCGATAAACGTGTAGGAACGATGTCACAAGTCGCCAATTGAAGTGTGTGTGTATGAGGGGGGGGGAGATATCTGTCAGATGGAGTCATCTAAGATTAACTTCGTGCTCAGGGCAGTGTATGGCCAACTTAGTTAGATGAAAAGTGAGTGAGGCTGAGAAGTATCCAGAATGTTCTTCTAAGGGAACGCTGGATCACATTCTTGTAGGATGTGGGTAGGGACTTGTTAGGTACGCGTAGAAATATGTAACTGATTGAGCATATGGAGACATCGCATTTGTAAAAGAAGGAATGATTTTGAGAAGAAGAAAAGCTATCAATTTACTAATTACTAAGTGGGCTAACACTTGGTGCTAACTGGGAGGTACGCACCTATCTTACATCACAATTAGTGTTTACTCCTGAGATTGTGCTAATTGTACAACGACCTGATATGGTGTCTGGAGCTTAGAAGTTAAGAAAATTTTAATAGTAGAAATTACTGTAACATTGGAGGAAAATTTCATATGGGACCATGAGAGAAAGGTGCTTAGATATGACGAATTTGTTTGTATGTGTCGCACTAAAGGTTGGCGTTGTGAGAAATTTGTAGTGGTAGTAAGATGTCGAGAGTTTGTAGGCTATTCTGTAGTAGGTTTCCTGAGAATAGTGGGCCTGAGAGAGGCGTTGAAAGAAGTAAGTCAGGCTGTCGAGATTAGCTCTGCTTGGATTTTGAACCAGCACAATTAGACCAGATGCAAGTAATACCTGGTAGTGTGTAATGCTCAGTGATGGCCAGCCGTGTGTGCTGTACTAGAATAGGCCTCGAAACAGTGGCACCCACAGCTTACAGCTGAGGACCTGAGCATCGAGTAGTTGTTGAGGCCACTGTATGTTTTGTCTATGAATAAATGTTTTGAATAGAGGGACGTTATCCTCGTGTTTTAAATAAGTGATATTGAAAAAGTGCAAAATATTTTGGTTAATGTACTAAATATTCTGTAAAGTTTTCTTTGCCCAAATGCAGTAAAGCTTAAGAGAACTACTGCTTAAGTTTTACTGCTTTTGGACACAAGAAAAACTTTCATTATGCGTATTTTAACATTAGTGTTCAATTGATGTCTTTGCATCAAAGCTTCGACTGCACAATAATAACCATAATACAAGTGTTCAAAGCTACTATTCCTGAACTCTTTGTCTCAAATTAAATATGTGCCCTTTTCTATATATAAATGAATTAATGCTGTTTAATATTTGTTATATGTTTACAAAGATGCCAATTTTTAAGAATAGAAAATTCACCCCTTTTGTACTAACTAAGTTAGCCTTTGTAGTTAGGAGCACATATTATAGTTATGTATTATATTACATGTATTTTGTTGATCGTGCAAAGTATTTGATAGCGTGACCTGGGTATATATTATAGAAAGAAAAAAAAACTCGAGATACATAAACAATTATTTATTGTTAATTTACTTAAAGTCTGTACCCACAAAAATATGAAGAATAACATATCTTCGTAATATTGAACTTCGTCTAATATTGCTTGGATTATTATGAGTATAGCAGCTAACTGCAAATTAAGTTAAATATGTTATCATATAGAAATATCCAGATTCTATAGCCTCAGAGCAATGGAATGAACACAGAAAAATAAACATAAAACCAATTGTGTAGAGAAGATAGAAATGTCTTGAAGATTGCAAGGTGGTTATCCGAAAACAGTTGTATAACATAAAGAGATCTCGAATAATATACCTCAATACATGAATTTACAGAAGTTATTAAATGTATGAGAATTTTTTTGAAACATGTATAGTTGTTCTTACTTTGGTTTTGTCCATTTCTCCGATTTAGTGGGATGGAGAGTAAAGAAGAAGACATTGGTTAATAGTTAAGGATAAATAAATCTGAAGTTAAAATTAAAGCAAAGAACCCATAGCTAGTTTACATAAGTGATAAGATTACGCTTTGACTTCCTGTGTAGAAAATATTCCTTCCGAAATAGTCGTCCTACTTTTCAGTTCCAATGGAACAACAATTTAGCATATATACAAGAAATTAACAAACAATATTTTGTATTCTAAACAATGATCCTATATACGTCACCAGGTTAGACGAGTTAGTTGCACGTAACGCTTTAAATCTGACATATTAATCGACCTAAGACGACATACTATAAACTCTGAATAAACTAGCTGTTAGTAATACCTTATTAATGCATTGGAAGTAATGGAAATAGCGAACATAAAAAAAATGCAAATAAATCTTTCAAACTCACAAAACCATTTCCTTTAGATTTATGATTTCGTTAGATAAAAA